TTCACAAATAATTATTAATTTGTAAACAGAGCAAGCAGGGTCGGATCCTCAGGGATTGGGGATATTTGTCTCTTTCGAAATTCAAAGTAACACGGAGGGTGTTTTTTGTATAAACGATGACAATCAAAGAAATTCAAAAAAAAAATAAATAGTTAACTAGAAATTAAATGACAATTCACTAAAATTATAATAATAATAATTAAAGGTCTAGTCAAGAAATAACTTCAACAATGGTTCACCTAATTGATCATCGATGCACAAGCAATTCCAATTATTTATTAATAAATAGGTTATAACTGTCAAACATGCGATAACAGTCAACCCCTCCTTACTGTATCGGTGAGCAAGGTACGCCCGTTAATCACTACTTTAATTGAGAAATAATCTTATGTACGCGGGTAAGAATTAATTTCTCAATTGCTTTACGTATTAGAGAGGTCATATTCTAACCAAATAACGCACTAACAGGGTTATTTTATATTAGCCTGCATATTCCCTGATACAAATCTAATCATGTCAGTTGTCACTATTTCGAAACAATTAAACAATTATGGATTTAATACCCCAATTGACAATAGATTATTAAATCAATTCATTAGCCGGATCCAAGACAATCAATCAATTAAATAACCATAAGCACTGCAATCAGGGAACATGTAAATACCAATAAATAAGAGAAAAAGATAAAATTAAATCGATCTCACAATTTCAGGTGACCCAAAGCATCCGTTGTTTCTTGACTAGAATAGAGGAGTTAGTTCATCTTTGACGCAAAAAACCCACACACAATTGTAGTGAGAGCAGTGGCCATGGTCTCCGATTGGGCGAACTCAATTCGCTTGAAATAATCCAGGAAATAACGAAGCTACAAGGGGAATTCAATACTTCCGCTTTGTCCTTACATGCGAGGGAAAAACTACTAAGAAAAACGAAAGTGGAAAAGTCAAAAGCAAAAGCTCAAAGGATAGTGCTAGTTCTCTGTTCCTAATTCTAATTTCTATCTAATGCTTCCTAGTGTGCGGCGGCTCCAGCGGAATAAGACTCCAGCTCTTCCGTTGTTTCCCTCCATGCTGTCTTCCACAAAGTACCAAAGAGGGTCGCGTCGTCATATTTTAAAAATGTCCCTGGACGCCTGCTACTTGAACTCTTTTCTGATAACTGCCAAATAGGCACTTGTTATCACATTCTCGTTCTACTCCTTGAAATAAATGTAAAATATCAAAAATGAGTAGAATTTAATAATTAATCCATATCGGGTCAGGTAATAGAGGAAATTAATAATAAAATAAATGATAAAATTGCAACATATCAATTCCTCCCACGCCTAAACCGTACTTGTCCTCAAACATGAGAACAACAAACAAGCACCAATATTTGACAATGGTCATTGCTCCATTTACCATATTACCAAGATACCAAGAAAAAATCATATATCAAGCATCAGTGATCAAAATCCGAGAAACATCACCCCGGTTAGTTTCTAAATCACAAACTCCTTCAATTCCAGATTAATTAATCTAAGAAAAAGGAATGACGCACAACATTTATCAGCAAATAGTCCAAATATTAACCAAAATTTCAACATTAAATTCATAAATCAGCAAGTTGATTTCTATCATACACTAACACAACCTATACTTTTTTTCACGTTTTCTATTATTTATTTATTTTTCTTTTTTTTTTTGTTTTTAAAATAGCACAAAAGACTTAGTCTCTACCCATTAGAGTTTTTTGATGCGAATTCCAATACTTTTCAGATGAAGGAGCGCGGTTACTCAACTCCTATCGCTATACGACCACGTACTCATAGCAATTATTACTTTTTGACGCGAGAATCGACACTTTTGATGAAGACCCCCAGTTACTCAGTAGTAACGACTAGCGGAGTACAGTCAACTTTATTTCACAACCAGATAACACAATAACTCAAAATAACACAGCAAAAGAAAACAAAAATAGCAACCGCTAGCCTCATTTCTTCAAATATGAAGAACTAAAACTAATATTGGACCAATTCACATGAAAATACTAACAATCATTCCCTATGCCTAGAAAAATTAACCAAGATTTCAAGAGAGTCAAGCAATCACCGATATTCACCAAAGAGATGTTCTTGTATTCAACCACATTAACTAAATACACTTTTATTATTAAAATTTGGCAATAGTAGAATTAGAGTCAACAATCCAACATCAAACTTTGGCATTCACATGAGAGATAATCACTAAAAAGAAAGAAAGATATTGAACGAAAATAAACAAATAACAAACTAAAAATAAAGGAAAAACACCTAAAAACTAAAAACTGCTAAAAACTAGAAACATTAACACCTCAACTGATCCCCCCACAGCTAAACGATACATTGCCCTCAATGTAGCAAATAAACATCAAAAGTATGAGAAAGGACAACAAAACTTCCCTGAAGTCGGGTCAAAGTGGTGGGTGAAAATCAAATTGAGGCGTAAGACCCGCATGATGTATGAATGCTGCCAAATTCTGCGTCATGCTATGCACGTTAGCATCGATGTTGGTCATCCGAGCCTCCAGATTCTGAACTTTCGTCTGGAGTTGGTGCCATTCAGCAGCCCCTGGGGGTGGAGGAGGCAGAGAGAGAGATGCGAGGAGAGAGAGAGAGAGAGGAATGGAGACGGCGGTTGCTGGTCGACATCGCACAATGGCGATGAGAGGAGGGGATGGCAGCTTTCCTGCGAACGTGACTCGAGCGCGTCAAAAAGGCAAAAACCCTTCTGACAAAGAGTTTTCCATGCGACACGATGCGGGCGCGTCATAAAGGCAAGAACTTTTCTGACGAAGAGCTCTCTATACGACTCGACACAGGCGCGTCAAGTCGAAGAGATACCTACGAATCATCAAAAACGAAAATTGAAGTAAAAAATTAGTCAAACTAAAGGAAAACATGTTTAAACTATCAAACAAAACTGAACAAACAACTAAAAGAAATTGGGTTGTCTCTCAATGAGCGTCTTTCTTTAATATCTTTGGCTAAACATTAAACACCACTCTTTAATTTGGATATAATTCAATTTTTCTTATAATCGGTGGCCATGGTTGTTAAAATCGCGATCCGGATCGTGGGATCGTACGATCCTACGATCCGGAATGGCAAAATCGATCCGGATCGCACTCAGAATCGTAAATCCCTTGAATCGACGTAAGATCGACGTAGGATCGGTAGGATCGATTAGAATCGTGCGATTCTACGATCCTATTTCGATCCTACAAATTTTTGCTATTTTGTGAAATACAAGGTTCATTTTGCAAGTAAAAATCAACATTTGGGGTAGGCTTGTAATTTATCAAGAAATTGCAGGCCTTAGTTGCAATGTTTTAACACATTTTGCCTCAAAGTCAAAAGTTCCGTCAAAACTCAAAAGGAAAAAGCTTCGGGTCTTCTACTTTTCTTCATCTTCTCCTTAGTCCTCAAGCAGACCTTTTTCATTTCTCTTCTCTCACCGCTGCCCAAATCAAATCCCTAAATCAAATCCCTAATTTACACCATCAAACCACCTCAAGCTTCGGCTACAACTCTTACCAAGACCAAGTACTAACAAGTAACAAGACAAACCGCTGCGGCTTCTACCAAGAACCCACAAGCTATAGTCGACAGCTTCAAGCTCCAGGCTCCAGCAGCCATTGCTTCGGTAAGAATATCAAGCTACGAAATCCTCTGTTGCCGCCGGATTTTGGCCGTTTCAAGCTTCAAAGCTTGAAGCTCCAGTACCCATTCTTCTCCAATTTTTGTGCTGCCAGCCTGCCACCACACTGAAGCTCAAGCACCAGCACTTCAATTAAAGTCATATGTGAGTCTGGTTATTTTCTTGCTTGAAAATTGATACTTGGGCAGATGGTGATTGATAAAGTTGTGATTTGTATTTGGTTTTCTTGATATTTGAACATATATTGCTTTTGATTGAATTGAGTTGAAGTTGAAGGGAATTATTGACGGGTCCATTAGGATTTGTGAAAATTTGGTTTTCTTGCTTGAAAATTATTGATGGTTCTGAAGCACCAGCACTTTGTCTTAGGATTTGTGCTCTCAGAATCATTAACATTTAACGGGTCCATTAGGTATACTCTTTTTTGCCTTCTCCATAGGAAGCTCTGATAATTGAGACTCTGCTACCACATAAATCTTCCCATTGAACTTGTTAAAGAAATCAAAATTAGGAGTATTATTATTTTGTAATAATGAATTAATGAGAACTCATAAAATTATTTAATATAACATTGTTTAAATCTTCCCATTTTGTCATGCATTTTGCAGCAGTTGGACGGTTGATTTTTCAATTGTTATCTTTACAGTAAAACATGTCAGTTGATAATTTTTTTTCTGTTACATGACTCCTTAATAATCTGTTTTCACAGGATTGTTTTTTTGTTCTACTCTAGTCCTGGTTATTCCTTTGACTAAGCTATATTAAGTTGTGATCCCAAAGATGCTTCATGTACTATAAGAACTCTGTACTGATCTAGACATCAATTCTAGCATGAAATTTGGATTAGTTAGTTGTTACCATGACTCCTAAGTGATCAGTAACCAAGAGAATTAAAAGCATATGAATTAAGAATATTTGGTATCTTGTTGTTTTGATTAACTCATTGAGTACCATAATTTTATGAAATAGTGATTTTTTAGCACAGAGAATGAAGGATCACTAAGGACACATAAAAGAATTCCCTTTTCTGGTAGGACGCATAGCAAAGTTTTATTTTCCAGAAAAATGTACACAAATGGATTGTTGCTGTTCTAGTATGAATTTCTGAACTTCTATTGTTGCTTCTATTATGTCCTTTACCTATGTTTTCATTGGATTTGCACTTGGCCTTGCAAAAATCATTGGTAATAAGGCTGTATTTCTTGTACTGAGCTGGTCTAGCTTATTTTCTGAATGCTAGCTTTATTTTCTTTTATCAAGTGCTGGTCTGGTCTAAATTTCTTGGTTTCTTATGCATATTCTAATATATTTGGTAGTGCTTAAATGTCTTCATCTGCTTCAAAGAAACAAAGTAGAAAAAATGCACCGGGTGCTCGATTGGATCCCGGGTGGGATCATGGAATTGAAATTGATTCTAATAAAAAACAAGTTCAGTGTAAATACTGTGGGATTACTCGAGCAGGTGGTGTGTATAGGCTTAAGCATCATTTAGCTTGTACACATACAAATGTTGAACCATGTCCCAGCGTTCCTGAAGATGTTAGAACCCAAATGTTTGATTTACTAAGTGCAAGTTCTGAGGAATCAAGGGAAAAAAAACAAAGGGTTAGTAAAATGTATGATTTAGAAGAAGAAGAAGGAGAAGCTGGGCAGCAGGCTAAAAAATGTTCTATGGACAACTTTGTTGTGAGAAAATTTGGGGGGTTGAATGTGAGACAAACAACTATAAATGAGAAATGGAAGAAACAAGATAGAGATGAAGTTTGTCAAATAATGGCTAGGTGGTTCTATACAAGTGCCATTCCATTTAATGCTGTAAATAATCCATTGTTTCCTTTAATGATTAGAAAATTGGGAGAATATGGAAAAGGACTTAAACCACCTTCATACCATGAAATGAGAGTGACTTTTTTGAAAAAAGAGGTGCAAGAGACATTGAATTTGCTCAATGTGTACAAAAAAGAGTGGAAAAAAGCTGGTTGTACTATTATGTCCGATGGATGGTCTGATCAAAGAAAGAGAACAATGAACAATTTTCTTGTGAATAGTCCAGCTGGTACTGTGTTCTTATCTTCGGTAGATACCACTAACATTTCAAAAACAGCTCAAAAATTATTTGAATTGTTAGATGGTATTGTGGAAAAAATTGGAGAGGATAATGTTGTGCAGGTCATCACCGATAATGCTTCTAATTATAAGGCAGCTGGAAAAATATTGATGGAAAAGAGAAAAAGATTGTTTTGGACCCCTTGTGCTGCTCATTGTATTGATCTAATGTTAGAAGATTTTCAAAAGTTTGATTCTCTCCACAAAGTTACCATACAAAAAGTGAAATCAGTGGTTACATATATTTATTCATGGGGTACAGTTATTAATTGGATGAAACAGTTCACTAAAGGCAAGGAATTGATTAGACCTGGAGTTACTCGTTTTGCTACTTCATACTTGACCATGAGATGTCTTAGTGAGCTGAAAGGGAATTTGTTTACCTTTTTCTCTTCGGATAAGTGGAAAACAAGCATGTATGCTAGGAGAAAAAAGGGGAAAAAAATTGAGAGCATCATTTTTGATAATCAAGAATTTTGCCCAAATGTGGAGCTATGTTTAAAGATTGCTTCGCCTCTTATTAAAGTATTGAGGATGGTTGATTCTAATGAAAAACCAGCCATGGGCTTTCTCTATAAATCTATTGATCAGGCAAAAGAAGAAATCAAACAAAATGTGAACAATGTTCGAAAGAGGTAAATTTTAAATAAATTGTTATATTAATTATTAATTCATTTATAATTTCTGTGTTGGATAGTAGAATGGATTTTTTTAGTTATTTTTTTTAACCAAACTCATGTTTATATGCTAGATATGAATCGGCATTTGCTATCATTGATAAAAGATGGGAAGATCAATTGAGTCATCCTTTGCATGCCGCGGGTTATTATTTGAATCCTCAATTTCAATATAGTCTAGATTTTCAGTCGGATGCAAATATAAAACGTGGCCTTTATGATTGCATTGCTAAGATGGTTCCCGAATCCGGTGAAAGGGTAAAGATTGATTTACAATTAGATGATTTTCGACATGCAAGTGGATTATTTGGTCATGAAAATGTTGTACTAACAAGAAATAAGAAATCTCCTGGTTAGTTACTATTTGAACTTTGTGTTTTTATTTTTATTTTTAAAATATTTATTAATTTGTTATTTATTTTAATTTCCTATAGCTGATTGGTGGGAATCTTATGGCGATGAGTGTCCGGAGTTGAAAAATTTTGCCATTCGAATTCTCAGTTTAACTTGTAGCTCTTCTGGATGTGAATGAAATTGGAGTGCATTTGAATTGGTAACAATGTTTTCATATAATATAATATCTCATTCAATATAATATTTTGTTTAGCATTTGAATTTAAATTCATAGTATAACTATATAAGTTCTTTCAATTTCAATAGGTACATTCTAAGAGAAGAAATCGTTTGGCTCAAAAAAGAATGAATGACCTTGTGTTTGTGATGTACAACTTGAAGTTGAGAGAGAGACAAAGGCAAAGGCAGCGTGTTATTGAAGAAATTCCTTTTGAGAATTTGCCTTCGGATGATGAATAGGTGACAGAGAGAGAAAATCCAACTCTTCCAAGAGAAAATAGTTGGTTACGAGTTCTAGATGACAATCCCGAATGTGACACTTCATATGAAGAGGGAAATGAAGATAATGAAATTGAAATACTTACAAGAAATGTGCAGAGAGTTTGTAAGTTTCTTTCTTTCTTTCAATTTAAGTATAAATTTTATCTTTTTTTTTTAGTTTTTATGGTTTTATATTGCAAGATATCTGGTTTTTGGTAACTTTCATTATTATTGGTTGTTTATTTAGATGATCATCAAGATCGTGAAACCCATGCCCGTCGAAGACAAATTAATAAAATGAAAGAGATTCATGTTATTGATGAGGATGATGGGCCTTCAACTGAATTCGATCATCAAGATGATGATTACCTTGATATGGTTCCTGAAAATGATGTTCAAATGGGAACTAATGACTTGGATGATACTAATTTGGATGATGATGAAGATAATGCCGAAGATGAATTCCAAGAGAATTGGGATGGTGAAGATGATTGGGAAAATAATGATTTTGATAATGTGAATTATGGGGATAATGAATTTGATGAAAATGATGACAATGATTGGTTATAAATTAATGTATTTCTGAATTATTATGATACTTGAAAACGATGAATTGTTACTATTTTATTTTTATTTTTTCATGTTTGTTGAGGTTCCATTTGTTGGTCAACTGCTTCATGCATGTTTGTTCTTACAAATGTAGGTTGGGAGGAAATAATTATCTTCTTTAATTCGTTTTTGGTTTTCTTTGGTTAATGGCACGGCTTGGTAAGCCTGCCTGACTAAAGCTCTATCAGAGACAAGCTTGTCATGCTTGACATATTCATACTTTTAGCCTCAATCCATTTGAGTTCTCTGCAGTGTTAGAAGCAAGTTTTCTGGTGACAACAGTTTGCTAGTAGGAATTCTACAGCATAAAATTTAGTAGTAGAGTTGCCTGTCTGCTGCATATCTAAACCCAAGTGTTACTGATAGCTTTGAGCTTCAGCTCCTAGTACACGGCATGCAATTCCCAGGTTTTACTATGTTTTCACGCAACATAGACATGCGGATTATATATATATTGCATTGCATTCCATGTTTTTACAGCAATCAATGAGCTTTCTTCAAATTTCCACTTCTTTGGCTTCAACATCTGGTAAAAATCCATTACAAACAGAACTTTTGCCGAAAGATAAGATGGATTGGTTGCTAGACATTGAAATTGCAAAATCCATACCTCTTTAGGCAAAAGCAGTAAACAAATTAAACTCCAAATTAAACAAACAAGCTTTTGGTGGGATCTTACGATCCTACGATCCGATTCTGTGAAACTAAAATCGATCCTACGTGGAATCCCGATTTTACAAACCTTGTCGGTGGCCCTCCTCCGGGATCCAAATAGCCATTGATTGCAGGCTTTTTTTTTTTTTAACTTTCTATTCACTTTCACCTCATAAATTGCTTTCATTCCCTAATACTTGTTCGCAGCAACTTTGAATTTACCCCCACAAATAAACTCAGAAAATTCTTGCACAGAGGAATTAATAGCATGAATAGCAAACACAGAGTGAGAGTTAACAGGATGTTTCATTGTATCAAAAATATTAAAGTGGATAATTTCTCCATCAAATTTCATTATGAAAGTACCCTTACTAACATCAATTTTAGTTTGAACAATACTCAAGAATGACCTTCCTAATATAATGGGTGATGGATTTGGAACACTTTCTCATCCATGTAAAGCACATAAAAATCAGCAGGAAAATTTAATCCATCTACTTGCACTAAAATATCCTCAACTATCCCATGCGGATAAGTAAATGTACGATCAGCCAATTGAATTATTATCCCTGTTTCTTTTAAGGGTCCTAAATTTAGGGAATCATAGATTGATTTAGCCATCACATTAATTGAAACCCCTAAATCTAACATAACATTTTTAATCTTAGAATGTCTAATTTTACAGGGAATAGTAAATATACATAGATCTCCGCATTTAGGTGGTAGTTTTTTTTGTAAAATCGCTGAAACATTCTCACCTACCACAATATGCTCATCCCCTCTCAAATTCTTCTTATTGACGCACAAGTTCTTAAAAAATTTCGCGTACTTTGGCACTTGTTTGATTGCATCTACTAGGGAAATATTGATCTTACCTTGCGGAATACATCCAAGATCTCTTTCTCCTTGTCCTGCTTTTTCGGTCTCTCCAACCTGCTAGGAAAAGGAGGTGGACTAGTTTTAACTTCAATGATTGGGTCAGGGAGTACCACTGGATCTTTGCGATTTTTGTCCTCCTCCTCGAGTTCTTTCTTAATATTTTCCTCAGCCTTGTCCTTTGGAGTCGCGAGTTCGGGTCTCTGAATCTCGTTCCCGCTCCTTAAGGTCATTGCACTTATGTTCTTCAGGTTCAGTTCAGGTTGGAATGGCAATTTTTCATTTACTTGAGACTCCAGACGGTTGATTGATATTACCATTTGACTTATCTGACTCTGCATCGCTTGCATCTGACCCATCTGATTTCATATGTTCCGCAGTTCGAAGTCCGTCTTTTGCTGGTGTTGTGCAGTACTAGCCATCAATTGTTTCATCATATCTTCCAAAGATGGATTGACGCTCGGTGGAGGTGGTGGTCGTCAAAGTTGATACTGCTACTGGTACTCTTGTTGTCTACTTGGCATAAAATTGGACAACCTATTTCTTTCATAACTAAAGTTGGGATAGTCCCTCTAACCAGAATTGTAAGTGTTCGAATACGAGTCATATTGATTTCTTGGCGCGGGTGTGTGGTCAGCCATATTTACTTGTTCCGTATTTCTTCTTGAACCAATGGACACATCTCCGTAAAATGCCCCAGGGTAATGCATACCCCACATACTTTGACTTGTGGGACATTTCTCACAGCCAGTTGTCGTACGAAGGATGTCAATTCAGAGAGTTGTTGTTGGATGGAGAATGTTTCTATCTCATTCACCCTATGTGTCGGGACATCCTCTCTTGAACTAAACTGCTGTGAATTCTCAGCCATCCCTTCGATCAACTCCCATGCTTCTCGAGGGGTTTTGTTTATCAACGCTCATCCACTTGCAGCATCGATTATGCTTCTGTCCTTGAAGAGTAGCCTCTCATAAAAATATTGGATGAACAGTTGCTCACTTATCTGATGCTGAGGGCACTTGATGCACAATTTTTTGAACCTTTCCCAATACTCATAAAGAGACTCGCCTGAGTGTTGCTTGATGTCACACATATCTTTTCCTTAAACTGGCAGTCTGAGATGTAGGGAAGTACTTTTTTAGAAATTTTTTCTGCAACTACTCCCAGGTGGTGATACTGCCTGGACATAGGTAATATAATCAATCCTTCGCCGCGTCCTTGAGAGAAAAAGGGAATACTCTTATTTTAATCTGTTCTTCAGTAATTTCAGAGGGTTTCATACTAGTGCAGACCACATCGAATTCCTGCAAGTGCTTGTGCGGCTCCTCACCTGGAAGGTCATGAAAAGATGGTAAAAGGTGAATCAATCCGGACTTTAATTTAAAGGGGGTATTATTATTCAAATTAGGAAAAGTGATGCATAAGGGTTATTGATTTAAATTAGGTGCGGTCAACTCCCTTAATGTTCATGCATTCACCATGGTGACTTTCTCTTGGTATGTATCACTTGAATTATCACCACGCAAATTTGTCGAATCCACCTCTGGATTAAGTCCCTAAGGTGCAGCACTGGATTGCTCCTCTCTAAGCTGTCTAGTTTCTTTCTTAGTTTGACATGCAGTCTTCTCAACTTCAGGATCGAAAATCAATTCGCCTGTATGAGAAGAACGAGACATAAATTAGAAAAAAATACTAGAAAATTAAAATAAAATGGAATTAAAAAAGAAACAAATAATTAACGCCAGTCCCCGGCAACAGCGCTAAAAATTGACAGGTTATCGATGCCTGTACAATAATAAAAATAAACCTAACTGCCAATTAAAGTAACTAAAACCCGATTCCAAGTACATTAGTAGGGACTCTAGGTGTGCAATGATTCACCATGTTTTCGAAGAGTTTGCTTGATTCGATATACCCAAATGGAATGATTTTTTCACAAATAATTATTAATTTGTAAACAGAGCAAGTAGGGTTGGATCTTCAGGGATTGGAGATATTTGTCTCTTTCGAAATTCAAAATAACACGAGGATGTTTTTTGTATAAACGATGACAATCAAATAAATTCAAAATAAAAATGAATAGTTAATTAGAAATTAAATGACAATTCACTGAAATCAGAATAATAATAATTAAAGGTCTAGCCAAGAAATAACTTTAGCAATAGTTCACCTAATTGATCATCGATGCACAAGCAATTTCAATTATTTATTAATAAATAGGTTGTAATTGTCAAACATGCGATGACAGTCAATCCCTCCTTACTGTGTCGGTGATCAAGGTACGCCCGTTAATCACTGATGTAATTGAGAAATAATCTTAGGTACGCCCATAAAATTTAATTCCCCAATTGCCTTACGTATTAGAGGGGTCCTATTCTAACCAAATAACGCACTACTAGGGTTATTCTAGATTAGCCTGCGTATTCCCCTGATACAAATCTAATCATGTCAGTTATCACCATTTCGAGACAATTAAACAATTACGGATTTAATACCCCAATTGACAATAGATTATTAAATCAACTCATTAGCCAGATCCAAGACAATCAATTAATTAAATAACCATAAGCACTCCAATCAGGGAATATGCATATACCAATAAATAAGAGAAAAAGATAAAATTAAATCGATCTCATAATTTCAGACGACCCAAAACATTCGTTGTTTCTTGACTAGAATAGAGGAGTTCGTTCATCTTTGACGCGAAAAACCCACACACAATTGTAATGAGAGGAGCGGCCATGGTCTCCGATTGGGTGAACTCAACTCGCTTGAAATAATCCAAGAAATAACGAAGCTACAGAGGGGAATTCAATACTTCCGCTTTGTCCTCACATGCGAGGGAAAAACTACTAAGAAAAACGAAAGTGGAAATGTCAAAAGCAAAAGCTCAAAGGATAGTGCTAGTTCTCTGTTTCTAATTCTAATTTCTATCTAATGCTTCCTACTGTGCGGCGGCTCCAACGGAATAAGACTCCAGCTCTTCCGTTGTTTCCCTCCATGCTGTCTTCTGCAAATTACCAAAAAGGGTCGCGTTTTCATATTCTAAAAATGTCCATGGACGCCTGCTACTTGAACTCTTTCCTGATAACTGTCAAATAGGCATTTGTTATCATATTTTCGTTCTACTCCCTGAAATAAATGTAAAATACCAAAAATGAATAGAATCTAACAATTAATCCATATCGGGTCAGGTAATAGAGGAAATTAATAATAAAATAAATGATAAAATTATAATCTATCAGTTTATGGCTGCTAATATTCCATATTTTGGTAATAGACTGGATTTTATTTCTAAAAAGGGTTATGAGACTCATGTTTTTTTCTAATGATCAATAGGTTATTACAAATTGTGAAAATTATTTTGCCTCAAATCATTCAACCGACATATATCGCGCATTTTAAGATGGCCTAAGTATTTCAATCGATAT